TGAAATCCTTGATCCTGTATTTAGGTATAGTTGTCTCCACTAAGTGTCATCATTGAAATCTTGGAACCAAATATGGAATGCTGACTCAAAAGGGCTTATCTCAAATCACAAAAGGGAAAAAAATGCTTGGAAATGGTTCAACGTCTTTCCTCCTCAATTTTATCCATTCAAGGGTACACAAGCCTATACACTTTTACCCCCAACGCATTCCAAGGATTCTTAGAGTTGGATCCACAGTCTGACTCCACTCGTACAATGTCTTCCAAGAGAAATAAATTCAGACACAAAATTCTACATTCCTAGAGGAATCAGAAAATAATTGCTTGGCACTTTGAAATTCACTTAAATTTTAATTTACTGGGGCTCCAACGATAATAAAAGTTTCAGAACATTATTTACATGTATACCAGCTAGCAGCACATTTTCCAAAATGTAGAAATCTAGGTTGCAGCAAACGATGGTCAATTTTAACCCGTCACTCTGTTAGTCTTACGTTTGTCGTTGTGACCTTCCTGTTGAAGTCAATGGATTGTCTGTTCCTAGTCTTCATTGTCACTGTCTTTTTTGGAATGCACGCTTGAATTGGATAATGGTCCACTCACAGAGTAGTGTACAAGTAACAAATACATAGCCCCGTTTGACACTAAGAGTGTGTTTGATACACACCCTTTTTCCTAGAAAATGGAAAGTGTTTTTTCTTTCCACCTTTTTGTTGTGTTTGATATACAAGTTTTTGTTTAGAATTGGTTTTCAACAAATTCCACTCACGTGCCCATTTTCCATACGTGAGTGGAATTTTTTTTTTTGTGGTTTGGTTAGTTTTTCATTTTCCAGTCTCTTTTTTTTTTGGCAACTACAAAAAAAATTAGACACAATGGTAAAAAAAATATCTCAATTTTATTGACAATTTTCATGTAAAATAAAACCAAACGAATGATATTCGATATGGTAAAAAAAAAAAAATTCAGATTTTTTTTTTTAACTTTTTGTCAATTGGAACAAATTCTAGACCTAATGTTAGAAAAAATTATCACTTTAATGGACAATTTCCATGAAAAACGAAATAAAACGGATACTAAACTTTCAATATTTTCCAGGTGGAAAATTATATCAATCAAATACAATTAATTACAATTCCCATGAAAACATTTTTTACGAAAACCTTTTCTCTGTAAAATATTTTCTTTCCACCCATTTTCCATCCTTACAATCAAACACACTCTAATTTTTTTTCCATTATATTTCTCATTCTTCATTTCAAAGATACATTATATTAATAAGATAATATTACACATAAACTCAAAAATTCTCATTACATTTTAACCACACAATCTTCCATCAATTACTGTTCCAAAAATTATTTTTCAAACAAAATAAGTGTCAAACAAGGGCTTAATTTGCTTTATCCTATTTTGCAGGGATTAAAAAAAAAATTTAATAAATTTAGATAAAAGTTGATAAAATGCGTAATTAAAAAATTATGAATTTATACAATATATGTTCAAAATTTATTATTGACTTTAACTTAAATTAAAATCTGAATTTTATTCTTTACCAAACTGTAACATACCCCAATTATTTAACATGATAGATTATTAAGTCCTTATTTGGGCTCCACTTTAATGGATATTTGAGAAAAAATATATTTTGAAATAATAATTTTTTTGAAAAAAATATGGTTAAATTTTTTATTTATTTACATGTAATATTCTTTTATTTAAAAATGTGTAATTAAAAATAATAGAAAGAAATATGCATTTTCTAAGAAATGGAACCCAAACAGGGGTTTACAATCTATGTAGATTTCAATCGTGAAATTAATAGAACAATTTTTGGTTTTTGGAATAGATTAATTTGAATTTTCAAATAGATCTTAAAAAAAAATGATTTCAACAAATTGACCACAATAAACCTTTCAAGATTGTTGAAATTTATATATATTTTAAATATACAAAAATAATGATACGCGACAACATATCTTCTAGCCAAGCAACCAACATCCCTTGTTGTGTCGTTCTTAGATCTCTAGTCTTTTCTGAATAGACATATCCTCATAGATCACTTGTTTTATTTTTAAATAGGTAAAATAAAAAAAAAATTATTAAGAAATAGCAAAATTTGGTTGCACGACATTTAAAGCTTGTTTGGTATAGATTAAAATCGGATTAAAATTGAAAAATTAGCCGTTATTGTTGACTTTTATTAGACGAGTGAGACCCAATAATGACTATATTTTGGATTTTAATTGGATTAAAATCCCTCCCAAACAAACTCATAAATTAAGTCTAATCGGATTAAAATTGAAAAATTACAGCTATATTTTCAATTTTAATTTGATTAAAATTCCTCACAAACAAGCTGTAAATACTACCCTTAAGGTGGCAGGTTATTTCTATCATAGGTCGTAGCCTTTTTCGAGCAAATAAGTTCATATGACAATTTATTTGCTATTATTTGAATATGTAACAAAAATTTAAAACAAATTATGAAATAGCAAAATTTGGTTGCAACATTGATGAATTAGATCACAGCCAAAGAATTTGTCTGTTTCTTCTCCTTTCTTTACGTTTTTTTTCCAAAAAATTATTTTCATGTTTACTTGAACTGGAAAAAGGTATAATGGTTTTTCTACAAAAAAAAAAATAATAATAATTAACTTTTTAGCGCTAAATATAATGATTTTGGAAATAAGATTATGCATTGCAATGAAAATAAGAAAGACATCAAGAGAATTATCCTAATTCAATAAAGACAAAGATTTAGTGCATCAAAATAAAGATTAGTAGAGAATAGAGATATAATTAAATAAATATTTAACACATTATAATTCCCAAATTTAAAAAAAAATTTAAAGTCAAAGATTTTGAGAAAAATAGAATAAATTCCAAATTATTAACCACAGAAAGTAGATAACAAAATTATTTTCTAATCCTTGATGGATTACATAAAGAATTTGACATTATTCCACAATTAATTTTCCCATAAAACCTCCAAACCTTGTAGTCATAATTTAAAGACCTATATTGAAAAGGATTTATAAGTCAACATAAATGACTCTTTTAGGTTGGAGTTATCCATTCAATTTTTACTTTTGTTTTAAGTGTCATCAAATATATTATTTTTATGTTTCTTCTTTAAATTTATGTGATGAGAGTCAATTACATGTAGCAATAGAATAATATTATTTGTAGTAGCTAATTATCGTAATTACTCTACATACATATATGTGACAGTACATGAGACGATAAAAAATTACTATATTATTACATAACTACTAACCGCCACATGTATATTATATAAAGTGACTACAGTCTTAAGCGACTGCAAATAACATTTCTCGTAGCAATATGGCTAACTCCAACATAATTGCTTAGCTCTAAGCTTTGGGGTCATTTGCAATTTTGTCCGCGACCAATTCTTCTAGACGATAGGATCCCCAACCTTCGTATAGTAGGTGGCATTCTTCCAAATGGATGGATTCCATCCAATTCAACTTTACTCAGTTACATAATTATTTACTGATATAAGAAATCTTCGATCTAAAAAAAAGAAGAAGAAAGAAATGTGATCCAGTTTGCTAAAATTGAAAGATTTCAAGCAAAAATTATCTGCAATCCTTGATTGATGTATAAGCATGAAATCGAGATCTTTCCATAATTAAATTTCCCTACTTTTAAAAGAAGCATAATGTAATAACCTCTCATGGGGACCACCCACTCCTACCGCCTAAATGTTGGCTTACCCATTCCTTAAAAAACAAAACAAAATGCACTAATTCATGATTGCTTATAAATCGGTCGGACTACATTTTTTAAAATTTATAATCTATTTACTTTTTATTCACAATCCACAACCTGTAATCTATGTAAAACCTTGCCAAACAAGAGCAAAATGCAGTAACCTCTGCCACATCCCCGGCGTCCCCGCCCTCACAAATTAATTTTAGGTTCACACCAAACAGGGTTGGCCACGAGACTTTGAATGCCCCGTACAACATTTTAAAATGGTGCCCATTTCATGTAATTAAAAAAAATGTATATCAACAATTTAAAAAAAAAAAAACTTAAAATAGTATCTCTTTCATGTAACAAAAATTTACCCTTTTAGAACCAAAAATATATAATAAATTTTTTTTTGATATCCTACAATGCTGAGGTCATGTGCGATCGTACGATCTGTGCACCTTCAGGGCTGCCTCTAACACCAAAAAGATGCTATAGTGAATTCATTGACCTTGTCTTAAAATGTGGATTTAATATTATACCTTTTTTTAACCCGTTCTTTTTGAATCATGCTATATGTATAATCTAGTTTGACAATCTTTGTTGACAACTCATACCTGACAACATCACACTCATCCACCTGCGCGATCGCAACACATGCGCACAATGCTAATATCCCGTGCGATTGCACAATCTGCGCACCTTTAGAGCTGCCTCTAACACCAAAAGCTGCTACAGTGAATTCATTGACCTAAGGTGGATTTAATATTATGCCTTTTTTTTAAACGTGTTCTTTTGTACTCATGCTATATGTATAATCTAGTTTGACAATTTTTGTTGACAACTCATATTTGGTAATATCATACTCATCTATTTCAAAACTGTTATTTACTCAATGATTCGAATTTTGACAACACCAACATTATCAATTATTATTATCAAACTAGATTATACATATAAGATAATTGTTCTTTTCTACCCTATCTTCTACGGATAAGATTTCATTTTCGTCGTTGGCTTGTCTCGTGCATGGTATTGGTAGCCCAAAAGCCTTATAAATACACACTCTCCTTCCCCAGTCCATCTCATTACACCTCAAGAATCCTCAATAATTATAAATATATAATACTTATTAAGTTTTCTTAGAGAGAGAGAGAGAGAGAGAGAGAGAGAGAGGAGTATATGGAGGCCGGTGGTGGAGCGAAAAATGTTGTAACTTATTTACAACTACAACAACCATCACAAGCGCCACCGCGAGAACCACAGTGGAAGATCATAATGGTGGCCGCGATAGCCTCCGGAATACAATTCGGGTGGGCGTTACAGCTTTCCCTTCTGACTCCATATGTGCAGCTACTTGGCATACCCCACAAATGGGCCGCCTTCATCTGGCTATGTGGCCCCGTTTCGGGCATGCTTGTGCAGCCTGTTGTTGGCTATTACAGTGACAACTGTTCCTCCTGGTTTGGTCGCCGCCGCCCCTTTATCGCGGCTGGGTCTGCCCTAGTCTCCATAGCAGTCTTCCTTATTGGATTTGCTGCTGATCTTGGCCACTCCTCCGGTGACCCCCTCGGAAATTCCCCTAAGCCCCGGGCTATTGCTGTTTTTGTCGTTGGCTTTTGGGTCCTTGATGTGGCCAACAACATGTTGCAGGTAAATTATTTATGCAAAGGCTTAAAACTAATATATGGCAATAATTCTTAAATTCATGCCAAATCCTAATTATTTTTGTAGATTTTCTTGATCTTCTGTATAAAAATTCTTTGATCATGATTTTCTTTTCTTTTTCAGGGTCCTTGTAGAGCATTCTTGGCTGATCTTTCGGGTGGCAATGCACGCAGAATGTCAACGGCGAATGCATTATTCTCCTTTTTCATGGCTGTGGGCAATGTGTTGGGGTATGCTGCAGGTTCATACACTCACCTCTACAAAATGTTTCCATTCTCAAAAACAAAAGCTTGTGATGTGTACTGCGCAAATCTGAAGAGCTGTTTTTTCCTTTCAATAGCCCTTTTAATTACCCTTACAGTACTGGCTTTATCAATGGTACATGAAAAGGCCACCGGCACCACGCCTTCAACGGGCGAGCAAACTGGTGGCGTAGTGGAGTGTAGTAAAAAGGAAGGTGGGATACCTGTTTTAGGGGAATTATTTGCTGCTTTAAAGGATTTGCCTAGGCCTATGTGGATTTTAATGTTGGTGACTTGTTTGAATTGGGTTGCTTGGTTCCCATTCTTGTTGTTTGACACTGATTGGATGGGGAAGGAGGTTTTCGGCGGAAAGGTGGGGGACAATGGGTTGTATGACCGCGGAGTGCGGGCCGGTGCACTCGGTTTGATGCTCAACTCGGTGGTGTTGGGATTCACCTCCTTAGGAGTCGAGTTTTCTGGGCGGCGGCTTGGTGGGGCGAAGAGACTTTGGGGTATTGTCAACTTCTTGCTGGCCGTTTGCTTGGTTATGACGGTTTTGATCACGAAATTGGCCGAGTCTACACGACGATACACCACTACTAGTGGTGGTGGCACCACCGCTTTGAAACCGGAGGCCGGTGTCGTTGCGGGGGCTTTGACTCTCTTTGCAGTTCTTGGCATTCCTCAAGCTGTAAGATCTCTTTTTCCTTCTCAAAACGTGCTTTAACATATTCATTATGGCATTTAAGAACTTCTACCTATATTCTATCACACCAATAGGTGGGAAAACAAAATTGGTATGCAAGATTACAAACCCTTAACTCAACAATGGATATTAGGTTGGTCATTTAATACGAAAATCGCACATATTTCGCACGTGTTTCTTTTTTCCAATTTAGTTCTTTTCAGACATCTAAAATTACCATATTTGGGATATATTTGACACACAGGGTGTGGCACTTGGGATCTATTGAAATCAAAAGTGTAGGTCTCCTTGTTAAAGGGTTGCCAGCTAGGTTCGCTTCTTTGTGGGTTGTAGGGTTGGTGAGGTGCTGATGCATTTGATATTTGGAGTGCATTAATGTGAAGAACAATCTTCCCATATCTTAAATTAAGGTTTATCTCTACTGGGATTACTATAAATGTCATTTTTATGTTTCTTTTGAGGTAGTTGAATGTACAATAAGTTGTGAAAAATTTTGTGACATGAATGAAGTAGAGGTCCGTTGTTAGGTTGTGTAAGGTTCGAACAAGGACAATGTTTTCACATGTTTGTAACAAGCATGTTTTAGCTGTTTTTTGCATCTCGTACAGTTCTAATCAAGATCAACTTGCATTGAATTGCATAAAACTTGTCGGATTCATTTTTTTTATGAATTAAGAAATTTTTAAAAATAAAATCAAGAGCTAATTGATAAAAAAGAATAATATTCAAATCTCACATCTATTATATTTGGACATTATAGTCTGATATTTTTTTTCCTTAATTGTCTAAACAGGTGACTTTTAGTATTCCATTTGCTTTGGCTTCCATATTTTCTAGTGAGCATGGTGCAGGACAAGGTAGAGTACTGCAAAAATTTCAAAAAAAGAAAACATTTTTTGATATCATTAATTGCTTTTTTTTTTAAATTCTAATTTTGTTGTTCTAATTCATTCCACAGGTCTTTCACTGGGAGTTCTAAATCTTGCCATTGTCATACCCCAGGTAAATTGACATTCTTATGTTGAAAATAACTTCTTTTTCACTTGTTATGTGGGGAAAATTGGCCAAAAATTATTACTATAGTCGTGATTAACACATGAAACACATTGTGGAAATAAATAAATATTTTCTTTTATTGCGACAGATGGTGGTGTCGGTTGTGAGCGGACCATGGGATGAATGGTTTGGAGGCGGTAACTTACCGGCGTTCATTGCGGGGGCTGTGGCAGCTGCGGCCAGCGGCATTGTTGCCTTAACTATGCTCCCGTCTCCTGATATATCATCATTCAAGACTGTGACTAATGTTGTCGCATCTCATTGAAGATCAATGGACCCTTGTTTTTACCCACAACCCCAAAGGGACTTCTATTTTTTGGTCCCTTTCTTCCCTCTATGCCAAATAGATTATTCCAGCTGCTTTATATTAATAACACTCAAAGTTTCTCCTAATATAAATTTGGAAACCTAGTATTATATGAATTTTGAGGCTGATTTATCAAGAGGAAACAAGAAATTATATATTATATTAATTTTCTCAATTGTTTTTAGTGCCTAGGTTAGGACGGCCTTATCCACACGGTAAAACGTCAATGCTCGATAAATTAATAACTTTACTTACATAGTAAAAAATTTCGATCTTTACTTCGATCTCTAACCTTTTTGGTGTGAACAGGTCCATTCGGATCAATAATTTTTTGGATACATAACGAGTACAAAAAACAATTAAGAAATTGAATAATTTTATTGCTAGACATTGTCATCCTAAAAGAAGCTAGTTGTGTTGCTCGCAGATCTTTAGTCCTTTTCAGGCGAACTAGTCCACATGGACCACTGCGATCTTTTTCGATTTTTTTAAGATACACACAAAAAAGGAAGAAATAACAAAATTTTGTTGCATGACCTTACTGCCTAAAGAGGCGGATTGGATCAGTCAGAGATTTCTAGTTACTAAAGGTTAGGAAATAGCAAAATTGTGTTAGTGGAAATTGTACTACTTACCAAATATTTTAAAAATACTCAACAATACTTTTTAACCTTTTTTATCCAATAATTACTACTAAATTTAAGTGAAAATTAAATGTAAAAACAACCCAATTTCTAACAGTATTAAATATGGCAACTTAATTTCCTCCACCAAACACGCCCCTCCTATACGTTTGACAATCTTCAAAAGGTTTATTAGTATAAAATGTTCTTACGTTGGAGTTTATTAGTTTCTGGTCTAGTAAAAAATCCATGAAGACTCTGTAATAGGACTCTCAATGTTGGAATACACCATCTCATCAGATCACACATCCAGCACCAGCTCAATCAGTTCACGTGTTCCAGCATCAGTTGAAGATTCCATTCCAGCTTCTTCCACACGATTCAGTAACTCCTCCAGCTCACCAGCTCAATATGTAATGCAAATTTTTATTTTGTTATATGATATTTGTAATATACCATCAATTAGCAGATTACCTGAGATTGGATTTTATAAGTTTTAAAAGTCGGATCATTTTTGACCATATGTACCGATACATGTTTCCCTATTTTTTTTTTTAATCGTTGTAACACATGAATATGTTCTTTGCATACACCCACACAAACAGATTTGGTACAAGCATCAACGTATTCTACAAGCCTAATGTGATATTAGATCTGAAGTTGAACCTAACTGAAACATAGATTGCTTTATTCAAGAGATCATGCTTCAGCCACTTCCTCAAAATGAGTGATATATGATTACAATACCAGACAATACACAAAATGTTGTTAATGAAAGTGATGCAATCCGTTGATGATGAAATGTGGTTCAAAGTTGTCGGGAGTTAAAATTGAAGATAAAACTATGTAATCAATGAAGATGATGAACTGGTAATTTCAATAATATTTCAATGAGCAATATACTGACTTCTTGGAGTGGAGAGCAAGCTAAGAGAGAGACAATTACACGTGAAAAAGAATCTAATTAGTTACAATAGTCCTTTTAGTGGTTTAGCTAACAGACAATCAGTTTTGATATGTGCTCAATCCGGTGAGCAGGCGAATCCGGTAAGTGTGAGATTATACGGTAAGTTATGCTCTATTCGGTGAGCAAGTGAATCCGGTAAGTATGTGATTTTAAGGTAAGTTATGCTCAATCCGGTGAGTGATGAGGATATACGGTAAGTAATATGAAATCCGATAACTTCAGCATATTTCAACACTCCCCTTCAAGCTGGAGTTTAGTCCTTTACTCCAAGCTTGTCTTTGAGAACCTGGTTTGAGCTAGTGGCTTAGTCAATAGATCAGCTATCTGAATAGATTAGGGGACGTATTGAATCATTACCTTCTCTTCAAGATGTTTTTCTAGACAAAATAACATCCAACTCAACGTGTTTGGTTCGAGCATGATAGACAGGATTAGAAGCCAATGATCTAGCACTGAGGTTGTCACACCACAAGATAGGTAATGAAGTAGGACATAAACTGATCTCCTTGAGTAAAGATTCAATCCAGCTTATTTCTGCAGCGGCTTGAGCCAAAGCTCTATATTCAGATTCGGTGCTGGACCTTGCCACAACTTGTTGCTTCTTAGATGACCAAGCAACCAAGGTATCTCCCAAGTAAATGCAATAACCATCCGTGGATCTCCTGTCATCAAGGCAAGAAGCCCAATCGGCATCAGCAAAACCTGTTATGCTTATTCTTTCACTTCTTTGAATCCATAAGCTTTGTTTAATTGTTCCTCTTAAGTATCTGAAAACTCTTTTGACAGCTTTCCAGTGTATGTCTGAAGGGTTTTGCAGAAATTGGCTGAGTTTGTTCGCAGAGAATGCTATGTTAGGCCTTGTATGAGCCAAGTATTGTAAGCCTCCTATTGCTCTTCTGTACAGAGATGGATCGGTCATTAAATATTTACTCCTTCATCTTTAGATATGTATTTCCCAACAGACATTGGAGTTGCATAGGGCTTGAGATGCTCAAGGTTGAACCTTTTTAACAAGTCCTTTATGTACTTAGTTTGGGTGGGATACATTCCTGACTCATTCCTTCTCACTTCAATGCCCAGAAATTGATGCAACTCACCCAGATCTTTTAGTGCAAACTGCTTGTTCTTTGTCAATGAAGCTTTGCAACATTTTGTGATCATTTCCAGTTATCACTATATCATCAACATATACTAGAACGAAAATTACTTGACTTTGATTCATGTGAAAGAACAATGAACAATCTGCCTTGGACTTTATGAACTTCCATTCTAGAAGTGTTTTCTTTAGCTTGTCATACCATGCCCTACGTGCTTGCTTCAATCCATAGAGAGCATTTTCAAATTTGCACACAAAATTAGGATTAGCTTTGTTTACAAAACCTTCAGGATGGCTCATGTACACCTCTTCATTCAGCTTGCCATTCAAAAAAGCATTGTTGATATCCACCTGCCTAATGCTCCAACCTCTTGAAACTGCAAGTGTGAGGATAATTCTTAAGGTAGAAGCTTTAATTAAAGGGCTAAAAGTTTCATGATAGTCAATGCCTGAAGTCTGAAGAAAACCCTTTGCAACCAGTCTTGCTTTGTACTTTATCACTTTTCCTTCAATGTCTCTTTTGACTCTAAACACCCACTTGTTTCCTATTACTTTGTGATTGAGTGGTGGTGGTACAAGCTTCCATGTTTCATTCTTCAAGAGGGCTCTATATTCATTTGTCATTGCATTTCTCCAGTCCTTACTTGCTAAGGCTTCATGCATATCATTAGGTTCAAAATCATTTTGCCTTGTTTTGTGTTCTTGGCAGTGCGTTGAGTAGACTTTTGGTTTGAAAATACCTACCTTGCTTCTGGTAACCATAGTGTGTTCAATGTTCTGCCCACTCAACTCTGCTATACTCTCTGCTGCATTTTGATTTTGCTCACTGTTTACTTTAGTCGTTTGCTCTTCATTGGCATCTGCAATTTCTTCTTGAGTCTCAATTTGAGTGTGACCTTCTCTTATCACTCCACTTCCATTAGCTCTTTGCATTTCATTTTCATTTACTTCTTGAATCTCATTGTCATATATTTCAAGCTGTTGGGGGTCTAAAAGGCATGGCTGTTGGAGAAGCATCAGGAGGAACTACATCAGTTGAGTGTGTTGGATCAAGTGTTGAAAGGTAAATACTGAATAATGGTGTCCTTGGTTTGCAATTGACTATTTCTATCAAGAAAGCCAGATTTGAAAGGAAACTCATTTTCATTGAAAACAACATGTCTTGAAATATAAATCTTACCAGTAGGACTAAGACACTTGTGACCTTTATGTGAGTTAGTGAAACCAAGGAAGACACACTCGGTGGAATGAAAACAGGAACATCCAAAAGCTTTAGGGGACTTGTAGTCAACTTGCTGGTGATTTAGAGTTTCATAGGGTGACCTTTTATTAAGGATTGGGGTAGGTAGTCTGTTAATAAGGTATGTGGCCGTGTGAAAAGCTTCTCACCAATAGTGTAGATGTGGGCCAAAATGAGCTAAAAGAATTAGACCAGTTTCTATGATATGCCTATATTTCCTTTCAGCTCCACCGTTTTGAGCTGAGGTATGAGGGCATGAGATTTTCATTTCAATACCAAACTGTAGGGCTAAGTTAGTGAAGAATCTAAATTCACCTCCCCAATCAGACTGAAGTGCTTTATTTTTCTTTCAAACTTGTTTTCAACTAGATTTTTGAACTGAATGAATTGAGTTAAGGCTTCAGACTTGCTTTTCATAGGATAGATTCAGGTATATCTGGTGTGATCATCAATGAAGATTATGTAATACCTAAAACTTGAAGTGGATTGAATGAGTGCAAGCCCCCACACATCTGTGTGAATGAGTTCAAGTGGAGCTGAAGCTCGAGAGTTTGAAAGTTTGAAAGGTAAGGAGTGAGATTTCCCAAGCTGACAGGCATCACAGAAATGACTTATTTCATTAGAATTGAACTTTTAATTACATGAATTGAGAACTAGTGACATTACAGAACTTGATGGATGTCCAAGTCTAATGTGCCATAGTTTTAATTGAGACTTATTTTTGGTGATTGCCTCAGACACTCTAGACTTAGCAGCAAAAACAGAAGAGTTCATTTTATTTTGGGTAAAAGACTCTTGACATTAGAACTTCTCATCTTGACTTGGTGGTTGGAACTCATATAGTCCATCCTTTAGCTTTCCCTCCAGCAACACCTTCTTCTACATTTTGTCCTTAATAGCACAAAAATAAAAATGAAACTCCATGAATACATCATTATCAGCAGTTAATTGTGAGACACTTATCAAGTTTTTCTTGATTTCAGGTACAAACAGAACATTTTTAGAGCAAGTGACTTGTTATTTAGTGTGCTC